AACAATTACAAATTTAAAACCTCTTAATTCTTACATTGTAAGCTGTTCTAAAATATTACACAGTTACAATACCGGCAGTAACAGAATAAATGATTAACAAATTATTCAAAGATGAAGGCTGCAATATTGTTGTCTACATGGAATGATAATAGTAAAAGTATTAGTCTCCTAGACGTTAATGTTGAGTTATCAGTTATCATTTCAATATTACAAATGTGCATGAAAAAATCTAGATCTTTAAAATAATGAAAGAAAATGAGACAAAACTCAAGCTTCATTCCTATTCACTTCTTAGTAGAATTTTCTATAGAACTATTTTACATCTTTATTAGAAGTTTTGTAATAAGGAGAACTAAAAAAACCCCACAATTACAATCATTAGTAATTGTAGTACTTTTGTACTGTGGGGGAAACTACATTTTGGCAATATGAAATACTATACACAATAAAAGAAAAATCCTGACTTGCAGACACAGATTCAACAAAAGTGTAATAATTTCTACTGCAAAGGCTACTAGCAATCTCTGTTATGAAACTGTGTATTAAACATTGCCCAGTGGGAGGCAGATAGGCAAAGTCTGTTTACTTATGTATTTGGCATAATTGAAAACAAACAGGTGTCTGTTAGGATATCATTATTCAAGGAGCACCACTGCAAAATAAGCTTTTTCAAAGGGATTGACTCATGAGACATAATGGAAACTGTGAAGTATAGAGCTTAGCTAGCTATACAATATCTATCGAGGGATTTAATAATAGTGGAAATACCGTACAATGTAAACAGCAACCGCAGAAATAAATTTCCTAGGACAGAACTCAGTGAGATAATAGGAGCAACAGGGTAAACTTAAGAAAGGCTTTATTCAGAGTAATTTCCAGAAAATGAAAAACAAACACTGCCCCCTCTTCTTCAAATGAAGCTCCCTAACAGTGAGATGAATGAAATGTTTGGATAATTTTCTAGGAAAAGAATTTCAGTCAAAGACTGATACTTCAGTCAAAAAGGAGTAGTGCACTAAAAATGTACAAAAGGGAACACTGATTTAAACAGTAGGTATTTCATCTCTGTGTTACTACAGAGACTAAAAAAACCTGCTGCTTGGGAAACATGAAGTATTACAAAATATTCTTGGAGCATCTGGAAGCAAATGCAGATTTAACCGATAATTTCATCTCCAATTTAAAACACTTCATATATTTTGCTAGTTCACTATGTATTTGTATAGACTCCAGATCTGACAGGAGATCACATATTTATACTGTAAGAGCAGCAGATCTAGGGGTGATATTCATAGCATTTAGCATAAAAGAGTTACATGACTGTAGAGATGATCACTATGAAACCCTTTTGTCCTTATTCTTGGCTTTAATTAATAAAGAAATTAATTATTTTAGTAGTCTAGATAAGCTTAAAAAAGTAGAATTGCATATTAGATTGAATACAATCTTCATAAAGAGCATATCCAATAATGTTGTTAAATCAGACAATGTAAAATATTTTCTTTACAGAGGACTGCTAAGATCACATAACAAATGCTGCTGTTCACCCTAATTCAGCAAGCTGCAATTATGACTATTTCATTCAGCTAGAGGCTTCTTATCTGACTGGATTTCAGAATGGGCATCAGAGGTACCACCAATACAATCTAAAACACTCTCAGAAGAATCGATTCCACTTCTGCTTCAGAATTTTAGAGGACACATTTGTACTCCAAAGTTTTGTACAGAAAAATGGCTGATGGCAACATCTATCATTTCAGCTTGTCTTTGCTATTTTTATTAGGGCAGCCTTTTATAATTCAAAATACCCACTGGCACACAGTTTTTTTCCTTTTGTAAAAAAGACTTCATTGTTTATTCAATCACAGTTGTGACCAGGACAGAAAAAGAAACACGACTTCATCTTCTACACAAAATGCAGAGTGTGCAACAGTACCAGATTTCAAAAAATTTCACTGTTACTGTAGAACTTTTGACCATTTCTTTAGAACATTGCAACACAGGTCACTTTTTTTTTTAAATAAAATATACTTTGAGGATAAAGAGGCAACTAAAAACACTGAATTATCTGTTGACATTACTTACATACGTTTATAAATACCACATTTACCTTAACAAGAACTATTGGGAAATTTTACATTTTTAGGGGACTTAATTCACATTAATGTGCTTTTGTCACAAAACAAAACAAAAAAAGAGCCATAACACTAGCTTACTTGTGGATGTGTATACTAGTGAACTGGGGGCACTGTACACGGGAGATCCCTCCTGGTTTGCCTGGCACAGCAGCACCCTGCCTACAAGAAAGAGAGAGAGAGTGGTATCTGGTTTTGGATCACTTGAACTAAACCTCAATTTTTATCTCAAAACAGAAATAAAGTCATAACCGGAGCAGCGCAGTGAAGCAGGGGCACTTTTTGTCCTTTGACTTCAAAGCAGAAAAAGCCCAAACAAACACGTACAGCTTTACATTTGAAAAGGCATAACACAGACACCCCCCAAAACACAAGCACCCCTTTAACAGCCAGGGAAGCTGGTGCTCGGCGAGCCTTGGCAGCGCACACCAGTCCTCGCCCAGCGTCTCGCTCTCCCTCTCTGCCCTGTGTCTCTGCAACAGAAGCCGCCCAGGTAGCTCTGCTGCTGACGGACCACTCAGCCCACCCACACTGCCCAGCCGCTGACTTCTCCTCGCCCTGACTCTGGCTGAGACGAGAGGCTACTCAAGCACACACAGCAGATAAACCAGACCGCAAAGCTCCCAGACGCAGATGTTAGGCCACGTGTCATCTCAGTTATATTGCTTAAATTAACACTGGTGCAAGTGACTACCAATACATATGAGGATTTCAGTATTTTTTGCTCAGATGAGAAATATATAAAAATAATATACTTTCCAGTATATAAGCTGGATTCAGGATCAAGAACAAGACCAAGTAAAAAAAAAATAAACTTTTTTTTTAAGGAAAAAAAAAAAGGAAAAGTAATAACCAAATCAATTTAAAACAACACTTTTGCAATGCTGATTTTGAACAAATCACACAAGTTAAGGCTTATTTCCCGGGGGTTTTTTTGAATGAACTTAAATAAAATGCCTTACTGTGTCAAAAACATTCTTAAAATCGTAATTTAGCAGTCTTAGCTGAATACAGATCAAACATTGATTAGAGGTAGAAGCAACTGTAGTTTCACATGAGGAAAATAACTTCTGCACTTCTGAAATACGCCACCAGGAAGAGTAGGATGTGACACATCTGGTTTTGCAGATATATGTGTATATATATGTACATGCACACACAAAAATATATATACATACACTGACATATTTCAAGCTGTCAGGATTTGTGAAACCAGCAACTTCAAAAATATTAAATTTACATGAAGATTTGTGAGACTTTAGAAGTTGTGCATTGACTTATAAGCAACGTAACTCAGCAGCATTGAGTCAAATATGTTCTGAAGGATGTAATTACAAATGGTAAGCAGGTTTTCCATATAGTATTACAAAAGCAACTCTCAACTTACATTCAGTTACCAGACCAGAGTTCTTTCAAAAAGTGTTTAAAAATAATTTCTGTCATTAACCAGTTCTTTGATTATTGCTTGCAGCTGTCAGTTGAAGTAGAAATACAGGAAATATGGAAGGAAAATAATTCTTGTAATTTATGCAATTTAGCTAAGATTGTGAGCACTGGAAATCTCATTAAATATTATGCTTCTAACCCTCCCAGACAATAGCATACCCTTAACCAACAGGATTTGCAGATGCTTGCTTTTTCCCAGCCATCTACTACTAATCTGAAAGATAAGAGAAGCTAAAAAAATTTTTTCCTTACTTTAAGACAGCACATAGTTGACTATATCAATATCCACCTCTCTCAGCCTTCCAAAAAAATCCACAACTGAAAGCTGTTAAATGAACATATACCTATTGAGATCCTAGTGGCAAGCATCATTTTGAGGCTAGTAGATAAACTGGACCTATGGATACACTCACTTGACACCAGGAATGTGTACATTGGAATATGGATGTGTTTAACACCATAGATGCTTCAAAAGTTGTGCTACTATTGAAGTCTGAAAATGAAAGCGAGCTGAAGATGTGGAGGCATTCATCCAGCTGAGTGAAATGCACAAAGGGAAGGAATTCCTAAAATCAGAAATTTTCATCAGATTTTAAGAACAACGTAACTATGACGACTTCAAGTATGTTTAGTAAATATGCAAAGAAAAAGGGTTTTAGAGATCGAAGATTATCGCTTATTTATATTATTCAATGTAAATTCTAGATCTCATTTTGCTTCTTCCATGGTCCATAGGTATTTTCCTATTCTTTGCAGCTAACATTCTTACATTTTTTCTGATTTCATCTCATACAAATCTAATTTTCCCTACTCTACTCTTCTAATTTCTAATGAAAGTACTTCAAAACAGATGCTTTTTTCATCCATGCTACTAGACTGTATTTAATTTGTTGCATAGAGCTTTCTAATTATATTTTGACAATCTGCCTTCAAATTTGTACATAAAGTTAATACTAATAGCTAAAACACTATTATTAGATTTTGTTAGAAAAATATGGAACAGTTTAATCTACTTTCATGAGACGATTATTTCTGCTGCATTTAATTTTGGTATTAAAAATATTTACATTGTAATTAATACAACTGGGGAAAGACTGAATTATTTACAATAAGATCTTCTGGATAAACCTCAGAACATTAAATCAATCTATAAATTCCCTAATAAAAAAAAATAATTCCCTCTAGAATACTAAATTCTAGCATGACAGAATAAAGTTTTTTTTTCTTTTTTAAGAAAGGGGATTTTAAGATAAAGTTCTTAATATTTTTGTTCAAACTGTAATTTAATAATATCATGGAGCTGATGAACTTCAAAAAATTGCAGTCATTCAAGAGTTCATCTTTAATTCTACAACGCCTTCTGTACCAGCATATTTAAGGCTGATATTTTCTCATTGGGAACAATCTGCAAGCTTTTTTGCTTTTCTCTAATAAAAGCATCTACTTCTGTGGTCACAGCAGACATGTGACCAATGATACAGAATTGTGGAGATCATCACCAGAAAGCCCCTCCTGACTCACTCCATCAAAAGGATCCGAAAAATACTAGCACATATGTCTGAAGAGTGTGTTCATTCACTACAGGCACATGGGAGAGCTTTAGACAGGCCGGGGACAGAAGGGAAACTGAGGCAGTCATGCTGCTGTGTGTGATGGGAGGAAAATAGCCTGAGGTGGCCGAGCAAGCCAGTGAGTTGTGCCACACACAACAGGCAGCTGCGTGGCAGTAGGGCATGGTGCTGTCCGCTGAGCACTGCTGTACAATCCCCCCGGCCTGATTCACTGCTCATCCCTGGTGTACAGGCTGGCAGCACGGACAAAACCATACTTTTCAAGATCAAAAGATATTCCCACTCATATTTCTCTTCCTCCAATATTTTCTCCTACAGCCCATAATTAAGCATGTGCTGTTTGATTAGGTCTTTTGTTGAAGCACTACAGCTATTTTGAGAAAATAATTACTCTAAAAATATTCTGGGCTGTGAGGAAAATGATGTGAAGTCATTAATATTTTTAGAATACCAAAAATGCAGTTCCCAGTGGCTCCAAGATATATGATGGAAAGTATTTTTCTAATTTTTTTCATACTTTCAAAAATGAGTTTTTTGTATAGTTCTTGTTTACGTGATTTATAGAAATTAATCTACAGAGCATAAGTGGAAATACCAACGTTCTAGTGATGATGCACAGACTACTCACCGGCTTATACATGACATATGATGAAGTTCACTGTATTTCTCAAATATTCACGTAGCTAAGAACAAGTACCCAAGTTCACCAAAAAGAGAACTTTCCCATAAATTATAAAGGATTTTAAATCGCTTCTGTTAAAACCAGGTTTTAAGTTTAACAGGAACCACTGTGTATCCAGCACCACAAACAGCTTAAAAGTAAAGATCTGGAATGCGTGTAAAAATTTGCACAACTACTTGGAATCTCTTATGGCATCCTTTGTAGACGTACAAATTGAAACATTTTCAGCAGAAAAAAAATTCATACCATTAGTTAATATTACACTGCTAATGTAAAATTAACAGTGTTGCAAGGCCTTGACCATGGGAACAGTGCTCTCCTGTCACAGGAAACAGATTAAACTTTTTGAAACCTTCACTGCCAGAACTGCATAAAGTTGATACACCATTACCAAGAACCAGAGTTTAAAATGCACCACCTCCCAGTATAGATTGTTTTAGTACCTTTGCTCAGGAAAAAGTTTCCAATTTACCAGGATTTTGGGGGATTTACAAAAGGCAAGAGGACAGAAGTTGGACCGTAGTACTCCGTTACATTCCAGGGCAAAACCCCAGCAAGTTACCAAACGAGACAAAGAGGAAAAACTGATTTCTATCGCTGTGGGAATCCTAAAAATCACAGCTTCATATAATGCTCTTCAGACAGCTCTGAAGATGATAGTGGTGATCCGTTGTGCACTTAGCTTCCCAGGTAAAGCAGCTTTTATTTATTCTGCTGTGTTACCAATAAGAGCTTCTTACTGCTTTTGGCAACTAAGTACCAGTTCATACATTCTATCATAGTATTTACTGAAAAAACCCAAACAAATCCACAGGAAAAAGCGAATAAAAGCTAAAAATATTTGTGTCCCATTTTGTCTCTATTACTATAAAATGTTATTTTATTACTCTAATCTAAAAGCGGTATTATTTATTACATTCAGTGATTGTTATTTCATTTTTCCTTTCTCCCAATACAGCTGGATATTATATAGCATAATCTTCTCTCAGTCATTCTGATCACTGAAATTTCTTTGCAGCTTTTGCAACAACTATTATTCCTATATGCTTAATTACTCTTCCATACACAATATATGAAGAAAACTATAAGGCTGCATCTCTCATGAACATATCAAGCGATTTGCTAGTGTATCAAAGATCCTCATGAACAATCCATGCCTGGTCTTGATTTGCTGTTCTAAACGTGTAACTTAATATTGGTCTTTCCAGAAAGAAATAGCATTATCTTTGTTCTGGTTCAAAGTATTTTTCAATGATGAGTTATTTCACAATGTGTCACAGAAATGGCTCTGAAAGGCCACTGTTGTACAATAATAGCATATGTTAGCTTCTATTGACCCATCTAACTATGGAAGTTAAAAAGCGTGTTTTGAATACGTAATAGCTCTTAAGTGTTCTCTTAGCCCTTCATTATCCACAGTCAAACTACACGGCCTTAGTATGCTTTTAAATAAGCTGTTAATTCC